AAATTAGAACGCAGCGCCCTCTGTGATGACTGTACGAATCAGCTATTCACGGATAGCAGCCTTCATGGCATAATGATGTTTTGGCGAACCACCGTAATCAGAATGCGTCAATAAGCTGAAAAATGTTGCATCAAAATCATTTAGTTCTTTAAACGTAGTCCATGGAATGCATGAGAAACTATTCTTTTTTTTTGTAGAATGCTAGAAAACATCATTCAAGGGGGTCGGTGCTCGTGGTAGCGTGGCCGAGTGGTCTAAGGCGCTGGTTTTAGGCACCAGTCTCTTCGGAGGCGTGGGTTCGAACCCCACCGCTGCCAATAAAATTTTACTCAAATTTAATTTTTTGGTTTAAAGTTACTGTCGCGCAACTTGCATGTTTATAAAAGGATTAGATAACTTGTGTAAACGAAGAATATTTTTATTGAGCTTACATATTTTACGTATAGCATAGGATAACTTCTGTTAGATTAATTATTTGTCATAAGATAATGTTCGAAGGAAAAGCCGGATGTACACTTTTCTTCTGGACGAAGCTCAACGGTATTTCCTTCAGGTCCTCGCAAACTTGAAGCGGCCTTCAATTTACTTGGAAGACTAAATTTTTCCATTATTCAGCCCACTTATTTTCCTTTGTTATGTTCTACTCAGCTTGTAGTAATACTACGTCTTACCTTCCGGCCAGCAAGTTCACTGTCAAATCACCAGGTTTTTTAGGTCTTACCCTATCCAATCTAACTTTAGCCAAAAACTGCGGATAACCAACTCCAGAGCCGGAAGTCATCAGACAGTCAAGGCCGACGGTTAGCCAGGAAAAAAACTAAACCAATTTTTACGTCTCGTTATTATATTGTACACCTCATAATCATTGACAATGAAATTGATTTTTGTTTTTCATTGTTCCTTTTTTTTGTCAGGCTGAGGGTGCACCTCACACTGAACTGTTTTGTCGATGCTGTCTGTTTGAAAAAAAAAACCGAAAAAAGGCGAGAGAGCTAGGGAACGATAGCGAACATCTCTATAACAGACGTAGGCATAGTGGTTTTCGTGACATATTTGTGAGTGGCCAACATAGAGAGAAGGCTCAAGTAACGACAGGCCGGTAAATTCGTTGCTGGTTATAATGTAACCTATATATATGCATGAGGTGAATCATGCATATATAGAATGAAAGAGTAATGCAGTCACGGGACTAACTACATTGTCGTCACCATTAGTAGTAAATACATATAGCGGGAACGGTTGATAGGGCGGCCCCGTCACGTGTGAATTCGACAAGCTTGTTTGCACGTTATTATTGCTATATATGCACGAAATTAATTAATAGTTAACGTAAAAAGAGGTGTAACAATTTGATATAGCCAATGTAAATAATATGGAAGAGAGCAATGATATATTGTAACAAAATGTATTCTGCAGTTTTTCAATAATAATAAGGATGAACAAACTCTGTACGAGGCACTTTGTTTGAAAAGCGGAACGATCTTTCTCTCATTTGACAGATTACGCATTAGTAAGTTATTAGTTATTGTAACAAAAAAATAAATTCAAGTAATATTTTATTTTTTGTAGAGCGTGACTCCTTAAAAGGGTTATCTAAATTGTATTGTATCAAAGTAGTTTTTTGGTATCTCTCTTTTTGGTGGACATTCACATGGACAGCGATACAAAAACGTATGCAACTCCTTTTTTGAGAAAAATTGCCAAGTAAAATCCATGATTTTAGTAATTTCTTAAATTGAATTAAAATATCTATTGAAGAATTATTGTTGAACGGTTGGATGACGAAGATACGTTTGACTTTTCATATTCAACCGTTCGTGCTTGAAGATAAAAATTCACTGCGTAAAATTTAGGTAAAAAATTTTCGGTTAACGCTCTCTAGAGTAGGATTTAAGAGGACAGTGTTTATTGCACAGACCAGTTTCATCTAAGATCTAATTAATTAACAGATTATCTATTAATTCAGCCGACGGGGTCAAAGATGCAAGACAAGAAATCTCCTGAGACAGGACCGGGTCGCTAACACACACGTAAATACCATCCTTATCCTTTAACGGTGCTAGCGCTCCCATAAGGTAGAATGTTTAGTTTACTAAGCTCTATGTTTGCTTGAAAAATTGGTCATAAATTTTGAAGCCTCACAAAGACTTCACATTATTCGGACTGTTCTTCGAAGTGTCAATTCATTCCGTCTATTTAAAATTTCGACCGATGTAATCGTTTATTCGATGCTTGCTCATAGCCAGTTGTTTAATTTGTAAGAATACCACAATTTTTAATTTAATTAAATAAGATCACCATTAGCATTTTAGAATTCGTACTGGAAAAATAGAGGACAATACCCATACTTGCTAGCAACAAAGAGGTGTTCCTTTTTTGACGAATTACTTCGGATAATATGTATCGCAGTAAATAAATAGTTTTAATATTTAGAAAAGCGAGAGGATTTTTTGCCTTTGAAAAAGTCTGTATATCTGCAAGTATTTTATTGTCTAGCAGTCTGTAACTATATTTAGATCGATGTACATTAAATTTTTGTACCGTTTTACAACAGCAAAATGAGCGCTAGTGAAAATTCATACGGTCAGTTGTGGATAACAAAAAATAGGCCATGCTGCCTGTTAGATGAAGTATGATCTTACCGTAGTAAAACTGAATCTATATATACAAAATCTAATTTTCATTGTTGGAAAAATAACGATATACCGTGCTAAATGCTGGCAGTGTTCGTATGCATATCAGTATATGTAAGCTCGCTTAGTTTGAGGGTGTAAAGCTACTCAGAGCGTTAGTCTAAAGACTCTCCCTAGGTATCCATAGAGCCATATGTAGCTTAGCAGTTTTTTAGAGCGATTAAACCAAGCAATAATCAATATAACTCTCGAGATTCCGATAAACGGTCACACGAAACAACTTAGCTGCTTATCATAACATACAATAGCAGTATACTATTTAGAGCTACTTTTTAATATTCGAAAGATCACCAATTCCCAGTGAGCACACGCATTTAGCCTGGGCTCTCACAACAGCCCTGGCTACCCATATCACAACGGTAACAATGCTATTTCTATATTCTTTTACAGGTGTTTAGATGCTGATTGACAGCGTCTTTTGTGCGCGTCCCTTTATATGAGAAAAGGTAAAAAAAAAACCGCCTTTTTTTTTATACTCGACTTGCGCTGCGGGTTCGCAGCTGTGGCAGAAGCAGCGTTCCAAAGGAATCTGTACGGGGAAAGGACAACGTCGCTTACCACAGTAAGGACCTCTGTAAGCTCCGTTTTTGCCTTTTCGCGCCAAATCCTCATCTCGTCTGAGGCAGGCTGTCAACGACGTTAGCTCATTTACACATATTTTCCTTGTGACTGTCAGCGTCTACATACGGCAGTCATATTCTCAGGGTACGACGTACCGATCAGAAGTCAGAGTCACATCAAAACAGAAACCCAAAGAGCAACACAAGTATCGGACCCAGCAACTAACAGATATTTGCCACGGTCAGAGCCGTGACGATTCTGCAATCGTTTCGAAAGAGTCAACTTGAAACAACATGATTTTTGCTGCTCTCATCTGACGTCACCTCTTGTTCACGATGTGATCGAACTGCTGGCAGCAGCAGACTTGGCTGTCCATGGACGAAATCAGGCGAAGTCGTTTCGTGGACTTCTGAAGTAGACAACATTGCGAGGAAGGTTTGAGGCGCGCTTGTTGTACTATGCCAGGCCGTAACCTTTTCGTGCGCCGCAGAGCGAAACGAAACCGTTTTAGCGCGTTAGACGCGATTGCCCTCGTCGTCGCACGCATAAGTCATCGTCCCGGGACGCGACGGTGACTATTTCTCACACGGCGTCACCGTGTTCTGCTCGCAGTGAACAAGCATTGAACACCGATCGTCGACTGTCAAAGCGTAAGCCGCTGTGACCACATTTCTCTGCTGTGTCCGTGTTCACCTCCTGTAAGGAGAAAGAATCATACTACTCTGCTTGTTCTGTTCGTTGATTTATTTGCCCAATCACGCTCACCCAACCCGACGTGGTTGCACTTCGCTATCTGCCAAATGTGGCGACATTAGCTGCAAACGACTTGTAGCCGTTTGCCCACAACTGGTTTTCTACTCAGTTGTTATTTAAAGTGTCAGTTATACCTATTGCCACTTAACCACTCAGCGTCTCCATTCATATATTACCGCACGATAGTGTGCTACATGCGAATCTGTGCTGCACGATAAGAGCCGACGCAGCTCAACGCTAACCAACAAACATTTGGCTGAGGTTTACCTGAAAAACCGGCCAAACTAATCTATAGTCTGGCACACGTAGCGAGCTAAACGCGTGAGGGAAAGAGAACTCCCCAGAGAACTCTCTCGAGTGAGCTCGTCAACTTTGAGCCAGAACGCCTCGGAGTGCGGTCGGTTGGTACTAGGCATACGCACACATTCTAGCTTCGTCCAGGCGTCTGGAGAAACATCGCGATGAGTCGTTTCCGAGAGTAAGTGAAACTATACGTTATGAGAGAAAACGGAAGAGTGTATGTTCGGGTGTCGCCACCATCGCGACCCACCCATATAGATAGATCTGACTCGAGCGCCCAGGCTCAAAACTCACACCACAAAGCAAACAAGCCTTCAAGTTAGAGAAATTCCTGTTTTTCTTACCTATATATTGTGCTTATTCGTACGCTGTGCTGTGTTGTTGCTAAAAAAGTGCGCTAGAAAGAAAGAAAGAAAGAAAAGAAGGTGTAAACCAGAAACGGCTTTTATTTTTAGATCCTTGACGAGACTAAAATACCAAGTACGTGAAGTTGCGCGTACATCCTCTGTGAGCTGTGCAAAGTTACTTTTTACTGTTCTAATTGTACTAATCGTAGCTACTACATATTACATAGAAAGCGTATCGAAATTGTTGTAAATGGATAGAATTAGTGACTGTAGATACAGGCATTCTGGTCCAACCAAACACAATGTAAGTAAGCGTATTTTATTTTCCATGCAGTCGCATCATCAACGTCACTGCGGTCCTATTATGTGCGTCCTCAGATCGAAGTGCTGATTCCTTTCGCACGCAAGCTGCCTAGCTGCGTTTCTATTTATTCGAAGTATCCGCTCATGCGGTACTATCGAAGGCGGTGTATTAATGAAAGCCGATGTTCCAGAATGCCCATTCATCTTGTCAGCTATTAGGGCCCGGAAAGTGATCCATTCTGTATGGACGTTGATGCATAGTAGCAACCTGTGTAAAAATTGTATAATATACCATTTTTGTGGTGGGAGAGAGCGTGGTACTTATCTTTTTTTTTTAAGATTTTCAATAATTTCTCTGTTTAAGCAAGAACCTATAGCTAAGCGTTGTCTCTACGAGCATGACCTACTTACTTCGCGATAATTACAAAGCCCGACTTGATATATCAATAATACCGGTACATTAACATGTATGCGTTATATGCTTGCCACTTTTTTCCTTGTACCTCACTGATGTATTTCTTAAGTTTTACTAATTATTTTTTAACTATACGGTGATAGTTAGCGGTCGCTACTAGTTCTATGCAACGAGCAACTTCCGTGAGTCGAAAATAACGCACGGCGATGCCTCGAACGATCAGTTTGAAGCCTTTGGATGCTGACATGGCCAGGATGGTAGAGAAAAGCCGATGCTTCATGTAAATATAGAATTAACTGATCATGACAATCAATTATAGAACCTCCCAATAGTATCTGCACTGAATTTTCGTTCGTCTAGTAAGTTGAAGACACGATTGACGTTGTTATAAATGTGTAGGATTTTCGTCACTTCTACGTGCCAACCTTGCTGAGTCATGATTAAGTCGTGTTGTAACAAACACAAATCCTTTCGTAGATTCTGTAAAATTCTTAAACCTATCCCGATATCGGGTTAAGAGTAATAACAGTCACTGACGCTCACTGCGCTGCCGAAGTGTCTTTTTTTTCGATTACTCGACAAATTTATTGAATTGCACCTTGAATAACGAGAGATCGTTTTACAGGTATCCAGATTGACAAATGTCTATGTATGTAAAAAATGTATTTTGATAGGAAGATGCCTGTAGATGGCGTATCTTCTCTACCATTTGTCGAGACATTATGCAGGAGGAGCGACATCCCTAAATTTTACTTTTTGTTTGAAGCGAAGAATATTCCCGTTTGACGGGAATTTACCGGCTGACTGTTACATGAATACAATATTATAGCGTATGTACATGCCGAAATGAAATTTTCCACCGACTGCATCCTTCCCACTGCACAGTCTATTCAAAACGTTTTAATTGGTAAATGCGTGATGACAGTGCCTTGCTTGACTGTACCCTTTATTAGCAGAGGCTTTATGGGCAGTGCCCTCGCAGAAGATTCGCCTAGGCAGCCGCTTGCCTTCATCCATGTATAGGCTAGGCTTAGTGTAGCCGTCTCAACTCCCCGCTTGCAGCCCTGAGTGGTACGATGTCTCGACTCAATTGCTCGAAAGCTCTATTCGACTGCAGAGTTGCCTAACGCGCAGTGAACAGCCCTGCTTAGCGGGTTCGTGTTTAAAGCGATGGTCGCTGCGACCTCGTGGTGGACCTTGACGCATTCGTTCACTGCATCTGGCAAAACAAATCGAACACAGGTTTGATATAATTCAAGGAGACTGACCTAGTCCCGCTTTTCTTGGTGGCCTGCTTCTTGTACGGGGTATGAGCAACATCTCAAAGGGCCTTGGCCTAAGATTCCCTGTTCAGAGGATTATTTTATTTTTGCTTATTATTTGAACTATTGCCTTATTTCGTTTCTTTCTTTTCGGACACTTGCTTGCAACAATGCCATTGTGTTGTGTCCATGTCATTTCCGAAAACGGACAAATGGATACGATCATACTTTATACCTAAGGTCGATGAATAACACCGGCTCACCGATACGTCTATTACGAACAATCAAGTAAATTCACCGACTGATCGTTACAGTTAGTTCCTGCGATCAGGACAGGTTATGTCCTAAATCATTCTGATAAGGCTGCTGCTTTTGTATAATCACGCATGCCTGATATTTCGCTAAGCTGTTCAGTGGTATCGACTTGGTTTCAAATTCAGTCCTGCGGCTCTTTCTTTTACTTCTTGTTCTATTATTATACATTGCGATTATGAAAGCAGTTTACATATGTGAATGAAATTCAGCACATAAATATCCCGTTGTTCGGTAGGAAAGAGGTAATAAACAAACTTTTCTAGGGGAATATGGCCGTGAAATTTTGTACTGTGTTCAGCTAACCAGGTTTTAGCAAACCGGGTTCCTCCGGTGGCATCCGGTGTGATCCGAGTGGCCGGTTATGTCACCGCCTATCTTATTGGCTGGTCGATTGGTCCATTAAGCTTACATTATTCATCGTCTGAGCGCTCTGCGATTCGAGTCAGACAGATGGTATGATATAGGGCGAGCAAGCCTCACATCCAGTCGGAAAAAAGACCATATTAGTGCTAAGCTTCCAGATCCTAACCTTCAGGATGTAGATACACATACGACAAATACTATTGCAATTTCTCTTACATTCACAGCGATGTTTTATGTATAGATATCCATTATAGGGGCATTATTATAGATGTACCAATCTCTGTTTACCACAAGCACGTGTTCCTCTGCCACTGAAGTTCAATATTGATGGGAGGGCCAGGTTAATTTCAGCCCAAATTGATTACAGAACGTACCTAATTGAATGCAGTATATGCCTATAGCAGTCCCGGATGTTACACATAAAGCTTCTCTCAGCTAGAGAAGTATACGTAATTTATATTCAAAAAACTATGCCGTAATACTGCCAGCATACAAACGCTTTTACCGTGTTAAACGCAGCCAGACTTTACTTTTGTGCTTCTTATCATACGAGACAATTGCTGCTAAACTGGTCGAACTATAACATTTCGAAAATTCTTAATAGCCGTCCTAAAAGGTGCGGGGTGTTTATAATAGAAACTCTGGAATATTTATTCACGATCGATCTTTAAGGGGGTGGTCAAGTGGCTTCATTAGCGTTTCTTATAGTATATATATACACATATATATCCCTGCGTGTGTGACTGGCTGAGATTTAGGATTTTAACAATATGGATGTAAGCTAGGCAATAAAATAAAAGGCAGTAGCAGGAGGTAATAACCTAACTAGTCGGCTGTTGAGCTATCGTGTTAATTGTTACTTTCGAAAAAAACCGGCCTCGTTCACTTGCTGCCCTGATCTACTCTATTAGCATTCAAGTATCGTTTGAAGCAACAGAATTAATGTTTGAAACAAGATTCTAAACAAATCTTTGTCAGGTTAGTAATATATAACAACTTCTATTTTACATCTGTGTCTGCCCTTGAAATTAATCGGAACTGCGTGACCATGTAAACGTTTATTCATTTAATAAGACTTTATATGATTCATTAGATTCCGGAGGCTTATGACAAATAATTATTTTAGTTCACAGCTCGGTTTCCTCGGGTTATCAAATCAACTTACGCAAACGAACAACGTGGTTGGGGGGTTCAAATGTTGCATAACAAACATTTTTATAATAAAAGAAGAAAAGTAAAGACAAATATCTGATTGAGACATCATTTTTCCTACAACTCACTACTGTTAAATAGATCTTTTTGCGGACTTATCTATCTATAATACTATTCGACAGATTTATCGGAAGAATCGACATATTATTTATTTTCTTTTGGTTACTTTTTGGTACCACAGATTCCAAATGGGCGATTTTCCGCATCACGACGAGTTTCTGGTGCCAATGGATGTGTTCGGTTCCTCATTTGATGAATACCGCCAAAGGGTGCGACGACAAATCGATGACATCATGCAGAGTGCTATGCACCGACCTGAGCGGGATCTTCGCAGACAGCTTAGCGGAATATTCAACCGCTATTCCAGAACCTTCCAAGACGACATGTTTAATGATATTTTTAAAGAGCTCGAATTCCCCTCCGACAGGTAAGTCCCCCCTTTGATGGAAAACGCCGTGTCTACGCATTTTTGACTTTTACGATCCATTAAACATGGTATCCATATAATATATTTACGTATACCTTATATATACATATACTGCTATGTTTGTTGAACTAGTTAATCAGGGATGCCTCAAAACTTTGTCGAAAAAATAGGCATATTAACCGATACGATTTTGACGTTAGTCTTTTGTCTGCTGTGTGGAATATAGCTGGTCGATTATTTTCTTCTGGTTCACAATGTTATTTGGTCACAGAATGTAAAACGGGAGCACAGTAGGTGGTATCCTAGTTACAAACATTTGTACTCATTTCAACAGTAGCTTCCAGAAGGTAGCGCGTGAGGTAAAAGCCGAGGTCGATGAAAAAAACTGCCTGCTCGTTGAATTGGACATGCACGAATTCGAGCCAGAGAAGATCACAGTAAAAGCAGTTGAGAACCAGCTTATAGTGCACGCAAAAACGCAGACGCCTACCTGCTGCAAGGAGTTCCGTAGAGAAATTCAACTTCCTGACGGAATAGATCTGGACACTGTCACTTCAAATCTCAGCCCTGAGGGTAGGTCCACTGAGAAAACAGCTTGCGGATTGTTACTCTTCCGTATCACTTGATCCTTGTCAACTTTAATCAGTCAGTTAGTATGCGGGTAACATTAGCCGTTTATTGACTTCAAATGACAACGTTATTAGTTTGTTGACTAGGTTGTCCGTACATTGCCAAAAAAACATATGTCTGGATAAAGGTTCTTAATACGCTATTACTCAATACGCTTAAAATGAATGCTTATTGTTGGCAATGGTGATTATTTGCGTAGCCTATATAACAACAGAATTACTAGAAGCAACAAACACACTAACATTCAGTGACGGTTCTAAGTTCCGCATAACGTTACACAAATAAATTACTATATTGTACTGCTTTTCCTAATTTATAATGCTGTTATTGTAACGTATAAAAGAAAAACAGCTTTCATGCTAACTTTCAGGTAAACTTTCAATACATGCTCAGATGCCTGTAGGTCAGCAGCCGCAAATGAGTAGGCAGTCTCAGCCTCAGCGAGTTAGTCATGGCCGTACGGAATTGCAGACGGCACCCATCGCATCCAACAATACGGTCGAAGCAGAACCTACGGAGGTACATAAATCTGAAGTATGCTTCAACGTTGGACCTGCGCCTACGCACTAGTAATGACCAACTTCGAAATGCCGTAAGGTCAATCACTCGTTTGATCCAATGCCACAGTCTTCCTACTACTGTTACGTTTGGTTGCCTACCATCTGCTAATAGCGCTCAGTTGAGCCGGTTCGTATGATGACATATTACGACAATCAATTAAAAGCTACGGGACGAAAGAATCAGAAACATTTTATATCATTACTGCATACCTCGTTTGGCTGAACAGATTCAGAATTGCGTCACTCCATCGCATGGACAGGCCTTACAAACACCTGCTTTATCTGCTATATGTATTTTTGATATACACTAGAAATAATTACGACTATAGATGTTGCGGCGCATATAGCAATTATCATTACTTCACCCATTTTGGTACACGATACAGACCGTCATCGACACCGAGCTCATCTTGCTGGCAGCCGCGAGAGCGTACAACGAGGTCTCATCATTCCTACTATTTGATGGTGATTGTGGAACCGTTCAACTCGATGAAACTCTTTACCCACACCCTCATTCAGGCCACAATTTATACTCATCTTACAACATGAACACATAAAATGAAATTAAAAAAAAAAAAGTTATGTAAACGTAAAACAAAGAAAGAAATAACTTTAAAAAAGGTAATACAATGTACAAATCGCGTATGAAGTTGCGTCATGTTTAAGGTAGATTGTGCTAATTAATGCGTGCATTGCCAATCAAATCTAGGCTTTCGTTGAAACTTATGAATTTGCTGCAAATAAAATGTCTAGTATGATAAAATCTAGTTCTTGTTCAGTGTTTTTTTTTTATTGATATAAAATCATCTGTGATGACTGCGTCGTTCAAAGCAAATAGACACTCGATCAAATATGATTGTTCATGGACCTGTATTGACACACTGAAGAAGGATATATGCGTTAATTTATTCACGCTGCCCAAAGCTGTATCTTTGCTAAACCTTATTCACAGGCTGCGTAATTGTTCCAATGATTGTATATTCTCTAAATATACTGGATTAGACAGAAAACGCTTGGGTTGCACGAGACCAGTATGGCCATTACCAGTAAGTTCCGTGTCCAAACTAGACAGTGCTGCTGGACCGAGCGAATCTACCGAACACGCCGACAACTTTCAGCGATTGACAGAGTCCTGCAGGTCAAGGCCAGTGACCAAAACGGCCTGGTTTCACCACTCTGGGTCCGTCACCCGAGGGCCACAGCTCTTTCACAGTAACTCCCATATTTTCGCTGATGTTAGAAGGTAGCAGTTGCGCCGTCCGTGCAGCTTCATCTTCGTAATGTTCACGTCGACGCGATCGAGCTGGTTCGTAGAAATCATTGAAGCTACAAAATTTCCTGCCATTGTACAGGCGCCGGCCGAGCTGCGCGTAGTGCCCATGCCGCTTGTGTTTATATATATAACGTATGTCCGACAGTGTGTAAGACAAGAATATCATGCGATAGAGTCGGAGGCATTGTCACGCCGTTTCAAACCATGTAAGGGTACGCTTGACGATAGGCAGTCGTTATGGAATATGGGTCTGTAAGTCTGCTATTTGCCAAGCAGGTATGAGACTGTCGTATTCGGCGGCCTCGAACTTGCTGATGTAACAAACAGACCGTTTGAGCTGTTGCCCTTAATAATGAGTTTTGTACGTTAAACAGTCGAGATACAATAGCTGAATTGTTCGCTGCCTGGTGAACATTGAACCATCTTTGCCTGTTTATGGTGACATGATACGGTAAGAAATGTTTCCACAGTGGCCTTCAACTCTTTTTCTTAGAACCGTTTAAGGTATATGTACATATCGCAAATGAATAACTAATGTGGAAAAAATTTTTTTCTAAAATCCCAACGGCTTACAATATATAGGAATCGAAATATATAGGACGTTTAATATTGTTATCGATCGATTTGATCAGCGACTATTTTCAGTTCTTCAGTAGTGGCCTATGCCTTTATATTGCTGCATCAAAGAAGACATCCTATGCGTGCGTTGCAAGATCCTTTGACCTCCCTCGATAATGGTAACGGTTAGTGGGCATATGGATACTCGTTATCAGAAAGGGCACGTACAAATGCAATATAAGTCATCACCGGGAATGCTCTTGTTCCCCAGGCTATGTCTGGGTAACAGCAGAGTTAAGAGGTGTAGTATCACGAGCCGGTTTTGCATAAATAGTCTGAACGAGTCCAGCCATATGCGCAAATGTCCTTCTTAGAGGAAGGAAGTGTCTTCACAGTGAGATACTTGTGCGTAAGTCACAACTACATTAGCACAGGGTTTTCCAGAAGCGGTGGAAACGTGAGCGTATTCTTAGGTCGCGGCAATAAATCGATTCAAGGCTCTTCAAAGGTTTCGTTACTTACGGAGCCGCAGATGGTTCAAATTTAAGCCAAATTTATTAGGACATCCTATTTACGCAAAACGACTGCATTCGATTTGGTCCTTAGGTTGCTTTGTGTTTGGAACAAGGGCAATTAACTGGAAGTACGGTACAGTAACTTTATAATTTGATCGCAAGTTTACTTTTAAGAAGATATCTTAAGGTTAGTACGAATCGAAATATACTCGTCTTAATATAACATCCTCTAAGGGAGACTTTAGATTAAGATGAATGCAGCCTTACTGCGAAACATGCTGCAAATTGTCATATGGATACCATTGTATTATTAGCAAATAAAGTACGGATTAGTGTTTGTATTAGTGAAACAACAGTTGCACAATAAATAAAAGAAATGAAAATTACCATTATCCTTATTACTACTATTCGTTTTCTAATCATCCACATACTATAATTCAGTTACGCTACATAAAGTAAGTTTCAATTTCCGGTCACATGGTCATGCTTATTTTCCTTTCATTACATATATATATATATATATATATATATATATATATATATAGGTATAATAGGTGAAATCTGACATATACGCTTCAAAGAATGAAGAGCTCGATAATACTTAGTGACAGTAATTTGTCGAGATAGGCCTAACAAGGTGTCCAACATGATTTTAAGTTTTTTAGAATTTTAGCTTTTCAAAAATAGCTCAATTTAGTTCAAAAATATTTTTCAATGTACAAAAAAGCATGCACACAGAAATAGCAAATACGAAATAAATCAGACCTCGACCTACGTCCCGCTGATTCTAATAGATTTGCGTTCATTCTGTGTAGATATATCTTAGTTTTAAGCACTTCCTATTAAACTATGCATTTCTACGTTTGTTAAAAAAAATATAAATATATAAGGACGCGTAGGTATTTTCTATTTAGAATTTACTTCCTAGATGCCTGCATCGTACGTCATATGGCATATTTCCCATGGGGGTCATATAGAAGTTTTGTTTGATGATTCTTTCTATGGGTGCTTACATGCCGGCTTGTTTCTATAGATATTATCATCAATAATAAACAGTCAAATGTGACGTAGAAAATATCTTTCCTTATTAATAGATACTCCATCCCTGGATCTGCTCATGTCATTAGTTCCAAAGAGACTTTATTTGCCGGCTGAAAATAGGAAGTACCTGATGTTACAATTTGCAGGATCAGCATCCTTCATAGATAAACCTGGTAGAGATCAGTCATGCAAGCATCTGAGTCTGCTTATTTCTGTGATACGTAAAGAGCCCTAAGCATGACAGTTATCTCTATAATGGTATCCCGCTCTCAGGAATGTAACTTTATGGCTGATAGGTAGATGGAAACAGCAGCCCTCTAAGGTAGCACTGACAACCTTGGTGATGATGGCAAACACATGTATATATATATATGTAGCGCTTATCAATAGGATATTTAATCGCAGGCATTTATATCGGTACCAGCCTGTTGTCACGTGTTTAAAAAAATCACACACTGTTAGTAGCTTTTTGATTATTAGTTCTTTTTTAAAGTGTAGTTGATCGAGAATTATGAGCGTATCAAAACTCCTAAAAAAATTTAAAAGTAGAAGAAAAATATGGCGCAAAGTTTCGGGCAGATCCACTTACGTGTTTTCCAATTTACCCGCTAAAAGCAAGTGCGAAGTGGGTAGAACTGTGATGGGCATTTATAGGCAACGTTCCGGAAGATAAAGGAAGTTTTACTTATCAATAAAGAGTACTAACGAAGCATCCAAAAATCTGTTTGTAATTTGTTTGTTTCTAAAAAACAATAAATTTTTAGTTTGATATCAAGGAATACTGATTTTTTTAAAAACGTTGTAAATGGAAAAATTATACCCCAGTAATGATATATGCTATTAATGAGGGTGACACAAGCCGAGAAAAATAATTTTACGAACGGTACTTGAAAAATGTTCAAAGTGAATGCGGATTCATTCAGATCAAATGGCACAATTAACTGCAACTGTAAACCCACGCGTCACGCAAGAACATCACGTAAAGTTTACTAGGAAATGAAACAATGACTGATGTCAATTACTCGAATTTTCTGCAAGAATCTGTTTCACAACGCACTTTGGTGAACGAGGTAAATTTTTCTTCCAACAGAATAGAGCTTCTACCCACTATTATCGTGGTGTAGTAGCATTTATTAATAGGAATCCCTGAGAGAGACTAAAGGCTTCACAAAATATCTCGCCTCTTCCCGAGACGTAACGGCGATAGATTTTTTCTTACGGGGAAATGTTATGTTTGAAGCCCATTTTAAAAAAAGCCGCTCTAACCAACTGCGAGTGTTTAGCAAGATAAACATGTGCGGGGGTTAGCAAGTCTGCCCAAAGACACAGAGACCATTCATTTTGTTACAACCGTTTCTTCTTACGCAGAATATATTCCTGTTATGCACACATTGATGACCGATGTGTACTTGTCGAAATCATAACAAGATTTCTGCGATTTTCCTTCCTTCGGTCGTTTCGATAATGTTTCTCAGTTGGGAAATTCCGCTCTATACGTGCTACACGTGTTCTTCTAACGTCTATTTTAATATTTTTTACTTTGTATTTAATATTTTAAGGATTATATTCATAAAACCTCTCCTTGTTAATTCCTTTATAGTCTGTTGGATTGGTCGGAGCTTCCGTGGAAGACCTAATAAACGTATTTTCGTTATTCTAAAGACTACAAATATACTGTTTTACCAGATTACATGGGACTCTTGTCTTGCGAAACATAATTTCAATGAAGTCGAACTTTTCAGATGACCATTGATCGAAGTCGTTGCGGAATCCTTCTAACTAATGCAAAGAACAGAGTTCTTAACGGGCATCCTGAGGTTTTTAAGGAACTTTTCGATGAGGTTTATGACTAATCCTGCTTCGCTGAACTAAGCCATCGAGCTTCGGCCGACTCCGACCATTAGATGCTGTGCAGAGTGTAATACATTATTTATAGAGAAGTTATCAAGGTAACTCAACTTCTAATTTGCTACTGGGCAGTTTAAAGTAATTGCGATGACCCGATCTAGATCTAGACGAACTGTTATCCGATTTCATCGTATCTCTGGCGACCTTGCGTAGGTCCGACAGCATATCCTCGCTATTCGGATTTAATACATTGAGCATAATTGTACGCATCGGTTAAGCAAAACTTGTTCACGACCATGCATCTATACGCCACTTCCTATCCCAGAAGGTTTCTCTTATATACGGAATACAAATGGGGCCTTTGATTCGATACCACAGTAAAATGGCCATTTTGTTAAATTGTAGCAAAGTGTTCTTATTGTGTATCCATTTATTTTTTCCCCGTGAGCTATTTATGGAGGCATAGTTTCTACTTGCTTTGATCAAATTTATTTTCATCTGGGACTATCCAGTGGACTTTGCCTTGTTCTACCGAATTTCGTTAAATCTCGGGAAGCGGTATTTGTACTATTGGTTAACCGTATTGGTGAAGGACAATGATGTTATCAACTACACAGTTTACCTAAGCTCTTACATAATGAGAAAATAGTTTTTTCATACTACCAGAGAATGTGTTTGACAAACTTCTAACGTCAGCTTGAGGCTTTGTGTTGACTTGATTTTTTGTCAGAGTCGTTAAACTTGGTTACGTGCTGATTTTAGCAAGTTTCCTCGAAACACAAACGTTTCATAGGTATTCTCGTAATTAAACTGTAGTGTTTATTTATTCAGTTTGCTAATCTCGTCCCTCAGAAGACAGTCTGCAAATAGGTGACGAGGAAGATACAGATTGTTTCCATTGCAAGCCTATCATTTACTATTCTAACTACTGTGTTTTTCTTTTTCCCCAATATATCAGTACTTCGACGATGCGGCGATAATTGATGATCGTAAATAAAAGGTCAGTAGAAAAAACTTTTTTCTTTCTAAGATCTAACAAGTACTTTTTTTCAACTCAATTTAGTACAATACGTTTCAACTTCTGCATATGGGTTACTTGAACATTCTTTTGTACAGCATCCAATGAATCAATAACTGTAAAACGTATACTCTATACGCTATCGCTGTTTGCTCGAGTTATACACACCGCTGTTCAGACGTGTTAGTTTGGCAGATTTGAGCATAGCACTTCTTTAAGAGGGTACTCATTTCGTTTATCTAGAGTCATCACTGATCGTCGCTTCGTCGAGGTGCTGATCACATACTGGTATTATTGAAACTGAAAAGATTTGTAGTCTTTAAAACACCTTAAAGGCGTTATTATTTTATAATATTATTACAAATAGGCAGGAAGTTGAAGGAATGATGACGATTAATGACTAACGAAACGTAGGGGGAAAGATCGTCTAAAAAACCACTACATAGCAATTCGTCGGACAAACTCCCTAGAACATGATTTCCGTCTAAAAATTTCGCTATCTTTGATGACACGAAGGATCATCAATCTAATGATTTATAGAAGAAAAAAAAACTGATTTCTATATTATTTCTGGAGATCGGTATATAAAGACCAAAAATCAGTGGCTAACCTAAACCTTTTTGATATTGGAATAGCCTTAAATAATATAGAAAAGGACCTTCGGAGGAAGAATGGAGTGAACTCTACTTGATTAATATTTGTGATTTTACCACAAAATGATGGGTTTCCAGCAGCTGAATTTTGGCGTAGTTGTACTCTTACAAGTCTCGAGGGGGCCAGTTCTATGCCAACAATATCAAAGCTTAAAGCGCTGATTAGCGCCATTTTTTCTTCATAATTCGAGGCCGATTTTCGAAAAAAAGCGGTTTACGGTGAAAAATATGCTCCTCAGTTTCCATTGAAGAAGCATTTCCAAAGATGAATTGAGTCAGCCAGATCAAGCCACTAATCAAGCAAAACCTCTGAAAAGAGATAGCAACTAACATAATCATTTAGTGAATGTCAAAAGCGCGATACGTACCTATTGCACGAAGAAAGTAGTTTGGGTCTTATAGCTACAGCACGTAAACGGAAGGCCCAAAATAGACGCACAAACATTTAAACACATACAATACAACACATTCAATACAAACTGATAATGAGCATCTATCAGAAGGGACGAATTCCTAAAAGAAACGTGGAAAAACAATCCAACAGGTTCCTTTACATTAGTAATGCAGAAGCATATAGAACGAAGGTACTCGTCGAGAAGGTGTCAATCGAAACATCAAACTTGTTGCTACTAGATACCCAATATCAGACCTCATACGACTATCTCACGAAACTATCCTCAGCGCAGAAGCATAAAGCTGGGATGCTTTGATTTTAGGTTAGTTTCTAAATCGTGTATAGTGAATATCTTAATGGTTTCATCTGTTGTTCTTTTCTGTGAACATAGCTTTTGGTACACCCAAAAGTACCACTACGCCATAAAGTGCATATTGTATTATGCTAACAACTGCGAGCCTTCGGTGTTTATGAAGACCGCGAGAAAAACACTGGGCACTGTTTCAGATTGGCTCTGCAGCAATACACACAAAAATAGTTGTAGTTGTAGTTGTTTACTTCTGCTATTGCTTTATTGTCATCTAATTAAAGCCTGAGCATCGCATTTCTAGAGTATAGGCCTAACGGTCATCTTGACCTTAGTTCTATGTGGCCTTAGTTAACGGCTGCCCCATCACATGTTCCCTTACAGCTTTTACACTCTACTTCTGATAGCGGGCCAAAATGAGCGATGTGTGTGAATAGTTTACCTATTAATTAATTCACTATCGAATCGAACCGAGGCGAACAACTGGATAATTCCAAGGACGATCAATCTGTAATTGATAAACATCTGTTAGATGCGGACGATAGGAAATGACAAGGATTTTATAAATAATTCTGTAAAGTTTTTAACTAGCGGATATATGCATCTATGTAAGGCTAGTGACATCGTACCATTTCCAGCGTCGCCAGTTTTTGATCCGATCCCAACGAAACTAAAAACGAACAAGCATTTTTTAGAAAATTTTTTCGTTAAGGATCACCAAGTGATATCTAAACTTCCCTGATCTTAGAAGTCCTGCAAAGTGTTCTAATCTGAGGACATCTTAATGGCATACAATTACTAGAGCGATAATTCCAAGTAAATATAATTCAAATGTACCATTCTAGAGCTCTTCAAGAACTAGTCGTCGTTGTCTTCCTTTACTTACTGGGGAAGGGTTGCGGGGGGACCGAGATAAGACAGATACCGAGATAAGAAACGCTATATTGATACTATAGGGAACAGTCATTACATTATGAATAGAAATACACTTGCCAGAAACGACGTAGTAAAAGCCGGTTAGTCTTTCAGATATGTTTTCCCTATTCGCTCCGAATTGTTCTAATTGCTATTAACCTTTTATTTAGTAATACATCATTATTTGGGCGTGGTCCATTCTAGCCATCTCAGGCTCATTTAGGGCTGCGGCAGCAGGCCACTATGACTGATGCCGACAAGGAAAACCGGACGTTTTGGGGCGTTGCTTGGCATTTCGGCCAGTCGTTACTTATTACACTCACACTACAGTTTTGGAGTCATCGTAATCATAGTGTATTACGTAGTAATGTACATCAGCATGGACCATTTCAAAATATGGCACAATGTGTTATTCTCGCGAAATTGGTTTGATTCCGAATTGTCGCAGCGTGTAACATCTGCGTGAAATCTGCCCCCATCACGCTGAGCTCGGCTTTTTTTTTTTTCGTTTCTACAATGCACAGATTCTGGAATCGCTAATATGACCAACGATAGGTCGTACCAAACGAACTGTCTCCTTCCGTGATTCGTACGTCATAAAAACAAACTGACGCGATGTCTTCACGCAAAATAAACACATCTCAATCCTGCTTTGTCATTGAAATCTGGTACTTAAAGCGAACAATCAAGGGGGCGTTGTGTCGTTAGTCTGGGGGCAAATTACTTGAGACAAGTAGTTTGCTCCTAAAGGGACTTTCAAGAGCGTTTGCTTTATCATCAGCGTAATTTGCAGTGTAATGATCATGCTTTTTCTATCGGGCAAAGTGAAACGGTATCTTCTATCTGGTAGTCCGAATGATAAAGCGCCACTTCTCACTTTAATGATTGTTTGTTTAAGTTTTGTCAAATTTCGTAAAACAAGGAATCATGTCGTTTTGATTTTGGACAATCCGTAAGCATTAATCCGTTTGGCTAATAGCTAAACATGATACGACCGTGTTGACTACTGCACGGCACAGCAGCGTCTCACCGTTTAAGAGAAGGTACGATTATGGCGATGATCACCTGAATACCCCAGAAAGATCTACAAAATACAGTCAGTCATTCACAAGAATTCACTCATGGGCGGCACATGAGACCTGTGGCTTTGAAAAGTTTTAGCACCTACAAAATTTTCATATATCTAATTATTCCGAGACTACAGGCGGCAATGAAGGCAATAGGGACGCAGTAACAAATACAAAGTATCATTCAGCCATACTCATCGCCTCTCTCCGTTCAAACGGCCCCATGAACCTCTGCAAAGAATTGCCTGATAAATAAATTTAACTTCCTTTTCTGGCTTGCAATCTTAAGGCAGAGACGTAACGCTCTTGGCTTTAATATATATATATATATATATACATATATCGGATTACTGGCAGGCTTTCAAAAGTACATCAGGCCAGATCGCACCGTACGTGAACTTACCGTTTGGAACAGCATAGTATTTGTATTCCTCTGTCTGTGCGCTGCATCTTATACTTCCGAAAATCTTGCTCTCTACGCGGTCGTTGGTCACTAGTTCAAAATACTGTGTTCGTAAGCCCCGAAATGTGATGTAGTTCCTGTAAGTACCTGTATCTATATAGTTTAAGTCTAAAGCGTAAGGGTCCAAGGGGAAGTGAGGGCAGAAGTCACGTATATCAGGTAAGAAGAACAGGAACATAATTTCATTAAACTTCTGTTCCCAGCTTGCTTGCTGTATTGACCGCGTGAACTCCAAGTCGTAATCTGCATTAGAGAAAGGGTGGAGGTATGATAGATTATGAAACCTAAATTTTTATAGACTCTAGAAATTGTTAGCCTCGTTTTCCTTAGACGTCACTTGTATGGACAAAACCCTAGCTATGTCAGTGCTTTAACAACCAACCCAAACAACGAACTGACTGAAACGAAAAAAGAAAAAACCGAATAAAAACTACGTAACTGAGCGAAAGAGCTACAAGAAATGCTGGTCACATGTAGCGTGCGAGAGCGTTTCGACAGGCAAACGCCACTACGGGGTTTCGTTATTGGAAACACAATGTCTGCCAATGAGGGTAGAGTCGGTCGAGCTCACGGATATGACACGGTGTGCCTGTTTCAATGTTTGAACGACTAATCCATCTCGCCTAAGAAGCGCAGCGGTTTAAAATAAAAGTATTTACCATAAATGTTTCGCAAGTTCTATATTCGGAAGTACCGTATAGACGTCCATGTTGTTGTCTTCTAGTCCACATTTCGAGATAATACGGGGCATGTCCGATTCTTTTTTCCTTATTGAAAATGGCTATTTTGCGATGGGGTACAGGTAGGGGACAGCAAGCATAACATTGTATTAACCCCCATAAGTGCATGATGACTGAATGAACAAGTGAATGTAAGATGAGTCAAACTTTCTCTTCACTCATTAATAATCCAGTGGAAAGCTAAGGTAACGCTGTTAGGGGATTGAGAAGATTCTGCAGGTAAAAAGGATCAGATTAGGCATACTACTTGATGTGGTCTAAGCAACGGTTCGAGGTTAGCAAAAAAACCTGTTTGGCCAGATGTTTTGCAAGGACCAACATCAGTGAGTTAAAGAGGTGAAGTGTTTCATCCTCGACCTTCTTGATCTTCGATCTTCGAATGTTGTTTGAGTGAGCTGATTTTAAATACGGAATGTTTAGTTTAACATCATCAATCGTATACTTTTTCGAACATATTCCATTTATTAGGGTGTAATATTTTTTTGTATGCTCGTGATACAGCGTCAGAATTTCCATCTGCTATGACGTAACGCCGTCCAAATGAAGATTGAAATAGAATTATACTCACCGAGATCCCAACAACTGTCGTCGCATGGAGTAAGGTTGACGCTACCAGTATTAATTGGTTTCGTCGTGACTGCCTTGTCACCTACTCGGTATCGGGCAAACAAAGCAATGTTGTATATAATCTCTGACGGGTTCAGCTTGATGTACTGCATTGGAAAGACGTAAACAAATAGATGGAATATCAGTGACACATACGTAAAAGCATAAACGGGATATTTTGACAGTAGACGGCTTGTAGACGCGTGGCGACTAGCCTTATATACATAGACGATGTAGAAGGCAATTGTTCAATTTACCAAACGTTTGTCCCACCGTACAGAAGCATCGTAATATTTCTAAGCACAGTTTTCTTTTTCTCAAGCTAGATTCTTCAAGATACGACGAAACTCATCACGATGGGGCCGTTTAGCCAGGTTAAGATTAAGCTGTGTTTCGAGCATCCACAAGAACGGATGCCGTTGGGTCAGAGTGCAGCTCGACGTAATGGATGACATACCCGTGTGGGTCGGCAGAAAAACCCTGCGGTTTCAGAGTCTAAACTGTAACTAAACTGTAAAATTCAGAGTCTAAGCTGCTAACAAAGCATTCTGAAATCTAGCTTCTCTGGGTTCGCGCAAAATATTTTCCAATTATAATTGAGAGTAATGTATCGTTCGTCTAGACTAATTGAAATTTCGTTCAATATAGATATTTACTCACGATCATACTCCCGAGAAAAAACAATAACTGTTATGAGGTATATTCCGTTAATGAGGTTTAAACTAATGATTTTCAAATAATGAATAGTAAGGTATTCACCGTTATAGCTTTTTTTTTTTTTGGATGTCACACAAATTTTTGTAACCGTATTGGCATTTGCAGTTGATTACGAGAGTGATGAAAAGTGGGTCGCATGTAACAATGATGTATTTTGAGGGTAATCCTTTTGATCAATCGCCATATCTCTTGCGCAAATATATATATATACATGAACCACTTAGCCACCAATTTATATATTATATATGATATTTGTATATTATAGTTAGTGCAAGATACAAGCATAATGAGAGAACTTTTGGCGTTCGGCCGTCAAAGTTATTAGCATCGTTCTTCTGTATAATCCCCTAGTACGAATTGTATGGACATCGACATTATTGCGAGAATAAGTTACGGAAACAATGATATCGGCTGATTCTGCGCTACGGTGTATTACTGATACCAACAAAACTGCGTGCAGGACAAGCTTTTTACCTGATGCGGTTCTTTTCTGGTCAGGATCTCAGATACACAAAACCGTGGTCCGGTGAAAATGGGGTTGGTTTTTTCTTCGCAATATACGAGGATATAATCGACTGATGCAAACGGTTCTAGACTTGGCATATCAATAAGTACATTGAAGTCGCGTAGGTTGCTATCGAGGAACAGAGATACTTGATCAGCCAAAAATGGTTTAAACCTTGGACCTGGAAGCAAGTTCATATAAACGCCATTTTAGACAGGTGAATATTAGAGAAATATGAACAAGAACACGGAAGGAATACGATATTCTATAAGTTTAATTGGATATGAAATCATTGGAACTCTAACAGGTGTCGGGTGTGCCTGTTATACGGACTGCACATACGTCACCTACATGTTATTATTGTCTAGTCATTTAATCTCCACTCTTCCGATGTCTACATCGGCAATTGCATGCGTTAGGCCTTCCTGTCAGTGCTTGACGAGCCTTTTCACTGGCCATCATCGGTTGTGAACGAAGAAAAAGTAACAGGAAAATATAGTCAACAAATAACGCACTGTTATAGCTATTGTAAAAGTCAATTGACATTGTCCAGTTAACTGAAAGCACGTGACGCGTTAGACCTATCGATGTGAACAAAGGTGAAAAGTACTCCCAAACATATCGCCTTATAGGACCCACAACTAACCTTCTTTTGTGATAACACTGACTCCAATAAGACCCAGCAGGATGAGCAGACGTATTAGTCCCATATATGAGCTACCATATGTTCTGGATTGGTAGAGCATTGGAGTTTCCCGGCCTTGGAAAAGTAATGCACTTTTCGTTGTTCTATAAAAGCAAATGCATTCCACCGTTTCACTGTACCTATAAGAGTGCCCAACTGTGCCGCTTCGCTAGAAAACGATTCGTGGATAAGTTTACCAATATCCTGAACTTAAACGCATACATCTAGGTTTCAAGATTCCTGCATGTTCAATTCAACAGGAGATTCAAGCTCCGCTGTTGAATGCAGGACCGTCTGTCTATCGCTCGCTACCCTGTACGTCCTGTACCAAATTCGACAATTCCCTACGTCAGTCGCCTTTTAACATTGGTAATCGAAATTATGCCATCGATACATATTTACGAAACAAAAACTGACTTATTTTCCATTCGCATAGAGTAGTGGCTAAACAATAGGCTGCTTTACTCCTAGCCGCATCTTTTCGGTATAAATTGTGTGCGCAATTTGCTAATTAGCTTTCGTGCTAACGTAACTTCGTGAAAAAGACTGAAACGTATTAGTTGTAGTCTATCAAAGCTTATACGTAGCTCTATATAATAAATAGATGAACTGGTTCTGCTATCCTACGGAAAGCAAATTCAGAAAACAGCATTAACTATTTCATACTCGGCGTCTACAAGGAAGGCAGCCAGCCAGCCAGGCAGGCTGCAAGCTGAAAGTTGAACTTTGTCCGGGTCAATAATTACTCGAGTCAGACCAATCGCGCGCTTCTTATACGGAGGGATGGTCTAGAGCGTTCACTACTCATCTAAAAAGTCATTTTCAGAACTGAGAGGTCGATTAGTAAGCGTCAGAGGATCGCATTTACAGAAGGTCTGTATTTTGTTAGCTTAGACAGGACGTCACCGCGGCGTCCTGGGTTGTTTTCTGCTAAGGGGTATAGACGTTGCCCGGGGCATCGTAATCCGTAACGTACGAGCAAATGAATAGGCCGCAAGATATCGAGAAAAGGGCCCGTCAAGCATTGACAGCGTGGAGATATAAGCGACATGCGGAAAATGCATCTACAGCTTTAGCTAGTAGTTCACGAAATCTGTACCGAGAGAAAGCGCGTGATAAGAAACATGTGAGCTCTGGTAAACCATTCAAAACCACTATATACATTCAAGCGTGATACGACCTAGCTGTTCGTCAACAGTCCGGTAAAGAGCAGGAGTATGCAGGGTAGATCGAGAAACGTATTCGGTCCATTATCACTATATACATGATTGTCCTTTATTGCATAGAATGCATTCTTGTATTAAACTGATGATTTATTGTTGCATTTATAGGATTTCTCAATGTTTTTCTGTAATCAAAATAGACTAAAACATGTCTGCCACCAACAGCTGCCCCGTTATTGACGTTCTCGTTTATGAGCTACTTATTGACATAAATTTTTCTGATGTTTCCCGCTAAAACGAAGTTCAAATATGACCCCTTAGTGACGCTTGTGATACAATGAAACTGTAGTTCATTCGTAAACAATCAGATATAGCATTGTTTGTAACTTCTGCTAAACTAGATCTGAAGTAAACGCCAGAAAAAAAAGTTATGCCAACAGGGCAGCTGAGCATTTGCATAGACGATGGCGTTCCGGTATCTGTGGACGTGAATAAATAGGGAGCGTCCGCGTACGCGCCCAACGAAATACGATTGAATAACTAATGTATTTGATGCTTGCCAAGGTAAAAATGTACGATCTACGCGATTTTATACGATAGTATATTCATACTTTCACAGTCATTTATCGTATCTAAACGTGACAGCTGTTAGTGCTAAATTGTTTGTCTATTTTGGCGATCCAGAGTAAGATTGGACGGCGTCAATCAACTCCATCCCCCCATCGAGTCCGTACCGTAACGGATTGCCCATTGAGTTGTCTAGCGATTCTGTATTCTGCTACAAGCCCATGCCCATTCGTAATTTTGTGGGCTATAAATAAACGTGCTAACGTTCTATACAGTTTCAAGATTTAGTAATAGCTGCTGAAATTTGCCCATATCGATAAATCAGCGCTCTATTTGTCACTCGGACGTGATAAAACGTTGTTCTAAAACGTACTGATTTCGCCGTAGTTCCTAACGTCATGTGTATAGGAATCTCGGTAATAAAAAAAAAAACAGCCCGCCAAATTCAAATCTGTCCTAAAGTATACGAGCCATTCTGTATTGCTGAGCTCCTTATTTTCTAACTTGCATATACATCTACCTGTCTTTTTGTGCCTATTTTTTGAAGAACAACGAAGCTATTCGTTGGTCAATTTCGACGGGTACCTGACAGGTTCAAACTAGCCGAGACAAATGCTTTGGAGAGTCTCTCTCGGTTTATCTTTCATACTAATCCATATAGCAACCGTTCAGCAAAAACATGCAGGTCAGTTTCATTTGGAATAAATCAGTTACTGAAATAATCGACATCTATAAACGTATATGAATAAAAGAAGTACTGTCGCCTCGATAAAATCTGCCTCGAGTAAAAACAAACGAGAGAAAAGGTGCATTGTACCCTGAACATCTTACTGGAAATTGAGCTTTCGAACCTAGAATTGTACTTTATTAGATTGCGAATAATTTATTTTTAAGTAGATAAGTTGTAAAATTGGATTTTATTATTGTCGTTTGGTTGTTGCTATGTGTATATAACGTAAAAAGCTCTTTAATTGCTGTCAAATTTGTTTTTTGTCCAGGTCATAAGGTTCCTGAGATAGGTATCGTATAATCAGAATCACTTGGATTTTACTTTTACCATCAAATGTATCCTTTTGAATCATTTACGGATATTCTACAATTGCAAATAAGGGAAATAAAGCGTGATATCTCGCTTCCTGGCAGAATGGTTAGGGCGCTAGACTTGCAACTATGAGGAATCCATTGCGGCGTCTTCGACCTAGAATGGCCTCAAGTTTGATTTATGATTGAAGCATAAGGATTTTTCCATATTCTTAGCTTTTTTGATTTTAGCTAACAAACCAGTCGATATTGAGCGATACAAATTTCAGTACTTCGTATAAAATGTAAGTGGCTAGTAACACTGCCGTTCTGCTGACATTCGGTAGTGCTTGTTTCTTTTAGTTGAGGTCTCGCCATAGATCATGCCCACAATGAAGCTACCTTGCACACTTGACCTTTGATAATGTTACTTTTTTTTATTGAAAAATATTAACTGTCTAACGTTTCATACATAGTAAGGCTACAATTATTGCACGTTAGAGTCGTGAAATACTCACTGCCTATTGATCATGCAGCTATGATGAAATTTGCGTAGCTCAAAGGTACAGCATAAGCGGTGTTGTTTTTCCTTTTGATTCATTCAGAGTCGAGTGCAAGCACAGCTATTGAAGAAATTCTTTACTTCGACAGATTCCGTTAGCTTTAAATGAGCTAGTGATAATGAGAACAGGACAAACAGTCACAATATGCTTGCGGTCCTACGAGCAGGCGTACCAGGGTAAGCTGGCGTTCAAGCGTCCACTGGTAGGTCGAAAAGTGTCGTTTGAGCATTGCACGTGGCCAATTGCATTTTTTTGCACCGTTTCTTGTCTCCAAGAGATGTTTCTTTTCTCATTTCTTCTGTTTCTGTCTCTTTCAAGAGATGGAAACTAAAATATAGTTCTTATGTTGTATAGCGTATCGTATAGGCGGCCCGCTTTGGTCAGCCATTTCCCTTAGAAGCCGTTCATTCCCTCCGGGCTCCTAATATCAACTACACGACTCAGTCATCTATTTTCATTAAAGTACTTCCAGAAAGAATGGACTTCATGAGTATTTTGTTTAGCAAAGACCGGAAACCCGAAATCAGATTCCGAGTGTTAGCCGCGGCAGAAATTGATTGGATAAAGCATATTTTCGTGTACTGCGAGCACGAAGTCCCTAAGGGTTTCACCGCACAGACATGGTGATTACAAGAAGAGACGGCGAAGCTTAAATCCAGCGAAAATGGCACGAGGATACGACAGTAACGATCATTTTTTCTGTGCTCATTCGCTCGCTAAAAATATCCTTAACGCTTACAGCAACACATCCTCGATAATAACGACTGTTTGAACAAAAAAAAATACATATATTGTGATGATGAGCGCCGCGAATATTAGGAGTATCACCATTCATAGGTAAATAAGGCTCAGATTCATAGAGAAGGGGCTGCATAAAGCTGAAAAAATCGCATATGGCCAGTAACCGCTTTCTTATTCGGAGCATTTTGGTAGCACTGACGGTGGATCGAGTCTCAGATAACAAGCTAGGCAAAGTCGACAACAATACTCGGCGTTGGTCGCGGGCGTCGAGCGGCTTGTGACAAGCGCTTAAACGCAGGCGATGACAACACAACAGAAACGCTCTCATCGCCCGTCTTTCCGTAGACAAGACAGTACGATGTTCGGCAAATGGATTTTACAGGTAATAGCCTTACGGCAAGGCCGTACTTCGAGACGGATATAGGAGAAACGATGTTCAAGGAAACTCCAGCGATGTGGACGTCTTTTAAGGCTAAGCTGACATTTCCAGAAGAGGTAGAGCGCATCTGATCTCGAGGCCCACGTAATTTACAAAAGGAACCGGTCATAAGTCACTTCGTGAGCCTACATTTGCTGCAAAGGAATGAATTTTTACCACCCAGAAAATTGCATCTAGGGCGCAAAACGGACATTCCATAAACATAGGATCCCAAGAAGATCCGAGTAGTGGCAATTTTGCATGCTCGCCGTCAACTAAAGAGCTGAACTGCTTCTTGGGCCTAGCCTTCTCTACTCGGTCCATATGAGGCCTTACGCAGATCGGGAAATCGCCGTGGTCAATGTAAACATTTGAATGGACGCCGATTACGACGGAAGGTGATTGCTTAATTGGAAGGGATTTCGTACTAAACGCCTAATCAGAGGCATTTAGTATGTGCAATTATCCCAAAACCCAAAAAAGTTTACGGATGGCCTAATCTACAAAGTCGAGAGATAGAAAGCGCTGCTCCTCGTTCAATCGTCCCAGGTGACGAGAGCAACCACCCTCTACCACTGGGAACCAGAGGAGGCGGGGGGGGGGGGCAGACACGCCTGTTAGAATGCGGAAGACATTGTTATGCGTTAAAAAACGCTTATTTACCGAGACTGGGCTGACAATACGAATCCCGGAAACATCGGTGACATTTGCCAGGGACGAAAACAGGGTCCAAATGGCGTGACTCGCTTCACTTGGTACGAAAGCGTCCCTTTGACAAGGTAGGATTAGACCTATGG